GTGTGTGTGTGTGTGAGACTGACCCAGACTGTAGGCCAGGAAGTCAGAGGAGAAACACTTGGCACCGTGGCTCATGGATGTGTCGTTGTGCGTATTTCCTCCAAACACCAGCATCGTCCCACTCACAATCACCGCTGTGTGGAGGTAACGGAAGAAGCCGCTGTCTCTCAGAATGGTCCTGCACCAATAAACAGTGAGGGTTGTTATTCAGGTAGATGTTATACAGCTGTTATACAGCTGTTATACAACAGTGTGGCAACATGGGGGGACTGTCTGTCGTAACAGTCCATGCTGCTGTTGCAACTGCTTTTGTAACTAAAGAGTCGGTAACATTACTTTTTGTTTACAGCTGGTTTTATTTACGGTAACACAATCCAATGAATAAAAGTTTTTACTTTCAGCAAATGGCCAATGCGTACTCTGTTTTGATGAAGTTACTGTTTGTTACATTTTAAACTGAAAGGGTAATTTCAAATAATGCTGTCAATGATTCAGAGACACAAAATTATAAACCTTCTGCATGATGTATTACCTAATTTGATTTGGTTTGTTTTCATTTAGCTTTCTTCATTCTTGCTTTGGGAGATTTTGAGCCCAAATGAAAATTAAAACCAAAGTGAACTTCTTGCTTATGACCTACTAAGTGTTTAAATTTTGGATCTATGGTTTATGAAAAGTTAAAATTTCAGACAGCTTTATTTGAATATTTTTAAGAAGCACAAAGAGGTAAAACTATACTGTATTTCACAAGAAAAAAAAGTGTGAAAATTAATACTTCATTAAATTACACTGTAGAACATTCCTGTAACAGCACTGTCAATACGAATCTCACCATTTCCTCTTGTCCACATCAAACTTGTACAGGTCTCCAGCCAGGCCGTACTTGTTAGCACTGAAGGCCTTGTAGCCTCCATGGATATAGATGGCTCTGGTGCCGGGGTCAAAGACACTGCTGTGGCCGTAGCCACCCTGGACCAGCGCACCGACTGTGGACACCATGCTCCATGTGTTCGTGCCTGGGGGGGGGGTCACACAAGCATCTTTTTCTGAGCAACAGGAAACTAGCTTGGTTATCATAATATAATGATATTGGGAATCTCAGGTCTCAGGGTGCTTTTGTAGAGGATTTAGTTTTTTGTCCCAGCACGGATGCAGTGGAGGTAATTACAGCTTAACTCCGCTTACACAGTGTGTATTAGTGAAAGAGAGTTAAGCCAATATAAATCTTTGTAATATTGTTCCTAAAATGCATTACAAGTGCAAAAGTAGCATCAGACCGCCATCAGATTTGATTGTCGATCATTCAGGAAACAATAATGTGCAAATCACTTTCATTTGTGGGCAAATAGGAGATGCACTCTTGTCCATCGGCCACAGCGGCAGGTTAATTCATCCCATTTTCTGAGACTGATTGGCTTTTAGAAGACAATGAGACCTCCAAATTAAGTTTGGCTGCCTGCCAACAAGGGTGGTGGATTAGATGAACACGCCACCTGAGTCTGAAAGTCGTTAGCTTCATCTTGGTGGCCAGTGTTAATTTCCTGTTGTTGTAAACAGATATAATTAGGCACTAACACCCAGGTCAAGTTATTAGTTAAGAAGGGGACAGCTAAAGGTTGGTAGCACTGCTCTAAGGGTGCAAAGACTAAACTTGGGAGTTTTTGTTTTTGGGACAGTCTCTCTAGAAAACTACACAGACCTACAGCCTTCTGCTCAGCCCCGACAGCGCCTACAGCTTACCAATGTCATACTCCTGCACTTGGCTGATGTAACCATACAGAGGACAGTGTCCAAACAGAACCAGCATGATGGGACTGGCCCCCTCCTGGATGGGAGGCACAATGTGGGCCGAATGTCCCACAACGGCATACTGCTCCTTGGCCCGGGGGCTCAGGAGGACCCAGGTCTGGTTCTGGATGTGGAAAACCCACAGCTGGCTGGACACGTTTCCTGTGGAGTCAATCTTCCCTCCATACATGTAGATCTTCCCCTGGAAGAAACAAACAGTGCAGCAGAATTAGGCTATATATAAGAGAGCTCTTCCATAACTAAATAAACATGAGTAAAATAAAAATATCCAGTGATATTTATGGAATGAAAATTAGAAAGATTCAGTTAAATAACATGTGTAGCACACGTGAACACACGTGATTTGTCCCCATGCTGGTCTAACCATCAGTACACAGGAGGCTAGTCCGGAACTGTGATAAACTTTGTACGTGATTATGATTAAACCAAAGCCCACCACAGTTTCCCTATGATGATCATGAACAATCATCCTAATAAAATCTAATAATGAAACTTAAACGAAGCAACAAAAAAAA